ACAAAGAAGTTACTGCTATCTTATTGGAGGCATGATGTGGAGGTAGGAGCTGGGGTGTATTTCCTATAAAATGAGGCATCCTGATCCCAACTATTAGTAAAATTCTGAATGTATMATTTTTCTACTGAACATTGCTCTTCCATAGAAATACATTGTTTTCCTTATATTCTTCATTAACCTTTCCACTCAAACCTCTGGCCAACCAGAAATGCCAGTTCCATACTTTMGGAAGAATACAAAATATTAGAGATTTCTCTCATAACATTTTATCTCCTAATATTTAGGGAAATTGAAATCAAAAGCCTTATATAATGGTCAGCATCACTATTCAAARATCTTGAAGCTTGGGATTCTCAATCCAGATTGCTTCATGGAATGGTTACCTTCAATTATGAGCATCTGTTTGTAGACAAACAAATCATTTTCTCTCCCACTAATAACAAGAAACAAGGAATATTTGAAAATATTTTTAGATGGGTATCTTAACAGCTCTTATATTTYAATCTCTTTTTCAGGCCCTCCAGTTAATGTCACATGCAACATATTCATAAACAGCTTTGGCTCTATTGCAGAGACAACTATGGTAAGCACATTTTCTTTGTAACCAAATTTCACACTGGATTAATTTATCACATTAAGAGAAACATTTATGCTGTTATGTAAATTAAAACTTAATGTAATAAGATTTTAAAAGAGAAAATTAGAATAACTATAATCAACTACACATATAATGTTTCATTTACAAATGGTAATATTAGAGAATAAATGTAAATAAKGTTTAATTTTCTCCATTCAACAATAAAATGTTAAACATTAAATTAAAACTAAAATTTTACCATGTAAATTATTTCTTTTAAATGCTCTTTAATAGTCAGACATAAACATGATACTAAATACTCTGGTTCTTATTATGAACACTTACAAATTTCTTTATGCTATTATATTAAGTATTCTATTGGATTACTTTTTSAAATAAATATAGTATCTGGGGGCTGGGGTTGTGAGTCAGCAGTAGAGCACTTGCGTAGTACATGTGAGGTGCTGGATTTAATTCTCAGCACCACATGAAAATAAATAAATAAGATACAGGAATTGTGTCCAACTACAACTGAAAAATAATTTAAACATAGTATCTGCCTAAACATCATAAAGACATAAAAAATCTACTTGTATATTTATAAAAATTGCTATGTAATTGAGCACACTGTATATAATCATATTACTAAAGTAAAAAAAATTACTGGCCAAATTTATTTTGTTGTAATTTTTTTAACATTGATTTAGACTAGCCAGGTTTCTTTTTCTTTTTTAGTTGCCAATGGACCTTTATTTTATTTATTGATACATGGTGCTGAGAATCGAACCCAGTGCCTCACACATGCTAGGCAAGCACTCTGCCACTGAGCCACAACCCCAGCCCTATTTTGTTGTAATTTTATAGATTATAGATTCTATAATTTWCTCTAAACATTCATATTATTTATCCTTTTCCCTGCAGCTTTTATTGTGCAATTTAACTAAAATAAAAGGCTGAAATAGATACATGAACCACTGAATATCTGTAAAATTATCTAGCTGCTAACTKTTTTTGAAATTATGCATGATGGCTCTTAAAATACTTACAATTATACTCTATTCATAAATTTATCAAGAATAATTTACATTAATTTTTAAAGTTGATTTTAACTAAAATATGATATGTAATTCTTACAGGTTTATTAGTTTYCAAAACCATTACTGGAGAATTATGACTCCTTTATGTATTTCAGAATAAATTGATAATGAGTTTTCTGAAGAAAAATAATCTAATGTAAAAAYTATTGTATTTTGAGGATGAGTACATTTGCGTATGGAGGGGAAGTTTATCCATCTCCACAGGAAGAGACTTTTTATGTACCATTTTCCCCAAAATGCTTTTTTTCTTTATTTATGCAGTATTTTCTTATTTAGCAGCATCTCTGTTTTATTTAAATTTTGTAATAAAAGTATTAGAGGAGAAGAACCAAACTTACATTTCTGGGCACTTAATAAAATTAAATTAGATACAGTAGATAAGTCAACATAAACATATGTGTATTAGTATAAACACGGGAAATACAAATAATTCACTTTTATACACACATTGTGGTTCTGTTACAATTCTATCATTAAAGTTGCATAATCCTCTTTCAGTCTTTGATGTATTCTGAAGGCTAGTTGAATATCTGGTTTATGTCCTGCATTTATACATATTTAGTCTAAAGTATCCAACGATGAAGGAACCACTTCTACCTAAATTCTACTTAGATTCACAAATTGAATTTCTATCTCTGTCAACTTTCTCATTTTAACTGCTTTTATACATGCTGTATAATACTAAACACTTGCAAATATGCTTCTCTATATTTCTCTTTTTCAACATTGCTTCTACAAAATACTTTCAGCAGCAATAGTTTGAAAGTTTTATAGCCTTGCACATCTTTAAAAAGTAAAGGGAAGGGATTTGGGGGGAAAAAAAGAGGACTCATGATAGGTTACTGAACGTTTCTGCATTTTATGAGATAATTCATCAGTCGACAACTAAAATGTTTATAACACTCCATAATACAACTGCACYGGCTAAAATTCTTAACTTTAATAATTTTATAAGACTTCCTTTATAGTATAATATTCTGGAGAAAGCTTGCAGAATTTTGTAAACATAAGCCACGGTAACTCTTGGGTGGTTTTATTTCCCTTCTCCAACATAGTAACCCTTTACATTCCCACATATTCCATCATCATGTATGATCTCTGAAATTGTTTATCATACATCAATCTCCTCTTCACAATCCTCAGAATCAATGAATATTGACAAAGTACTCCAGAGGTTAAGTACACTAAATTAAGTATGCCCTCCTTGGTTCTTTTTTATTCTTCCATATTCCTAAATATGTGATTAATACTATTTCCRCCAAAGTTTATAAATCTTTCACGTTATCAGCTAGAATAACTACAATATGGTATTCATCTACATTGGAATGTGAGAAAACTAGAACTTGTTAATATATTTCTATCAAAAGAATGGTATGGTATTTTTCTCCCATTTGGTTGATTTGATGTATTTTCTTCATAAAATCTGCCATCACAACACTACAACTGAATTGTATCCCACTRTTTCATTGCTATATTTGTTTAAGTTCATTTTTAAAGTTATTCAATGTTTTTATTTAAGAGAGAGAGAATTTTTTAATATTTTTAGTCTTTTAGTTTACGGTGGACACAACATCTTTTATTTTATTTTAATGTGGTGCTGAGGATCGAACCCAGCACCCAGCGCATGCCAGGCGAGCATGCTACCGTTTGACCCACATCCCCAGCCCCAATGTTTTTTTATTTGTCCTAATTAGTTACACATGACAGTAGAATGCATTTTTGACACACAGTACACAAATGGRGCATACCTTCTCATTACTCTGGCTGTACATAGGGCTGAGTCACACCAGTAGTATACTTATATATTACCTTATATACAYATATGTATATAAGGTAATAATGTCACATTGATTCTACTGTCCTTCCCATCCTCACAGCCCCACCCCTCCCCTCACTCTCCTCTGCACAATACAAAGTTCCTTCATTCTTCCTTACCTGTATGCCCCCACAATGGATCAGCATCTACTATCAGAGAAAACATTAGGCCTTTGTTTTTGGAGGACTGCCTTATTTCACTTGGCATGTTGTTCTCTAGTTCTATCCATTTACCCGCAAATGTTATAATTTCTTTTTTCTTTAAGGCTAATATTC